CTTACAGAAATACGCTAGTGAAAATAACAAATAAAACTTAGTTTTTTGGACAAAAAATTTGATAATTATCTGGACATTATAAAGATTTAACATGTGAAATTTAAAAATGTTCTAATGCATTAAAGTATCTGTAATCGTAAAATCAATATTACTTTGCATGTTGGATAGTCAAGATTCTGAAACAAAAAGGGTTATGAGAAAATCTGATTAAAAAATCTTAATACTTAATTTAAGAACCTGATATTTTGTGTATGAAAACCTTGTAATGTTTACCAGTAACCTGCAAAATTTTGTAACAATGTGTATGCATTATCAAAAACAATAGTATAAATACTCTCATGGATACTTTCGTGGTTATGAGCTGGGTGGATTCCACCAAACCCGTAATGAAAGGGTTAACAGAAAGTGATTTGAGAGAGATAACTGGAGAATGGAAAATGTAGACAAAGTTTTTAAATTAAGAAAACACAAAATGGTACTTTACTAACTTTGTCTGTCTTCTGATTTTTTTATCTATACCTTTCTAAATTTTAGAAAAAATGGTTTAAACTGGAACAATAAGCAGATTGATTTGTAGCTTTTCAAAAATACTTGTAAACAATAAACTAATATGATATTCTGAAATCAGAAAATGTTACTACCTTGTCTAAAAACCTGGGAAAACTACTGAGAATATGTGATAGTTGAGAACCTAAATTAATATTTTTGCATAAACTATGAGGTACTTCTATCACACAGAGATGACAGAGACTGGAGCACATTTTGCACCAACCCTATTTATTTTAAATAAAAATTTTTAATAGTTCTCAAAACAAGAACCAGAGATTTGATTACAAACTAGTATAAAAAACAGGGTTTAAAAAATTGACAGAAATAAAGTTAGATGTCTATTCTTTAATCAATGATTTTAAAGATTTTTAAATAGAGAAAAAAAACAATGCTAAACAAAAATTCAGAAGCACCAATTATTATAAAGCCATAAGAAGAATGTTCTAACTAAGAAAACAGTCACTGGCTTATGTAAACTAACTTACTTCTTTGCCCACTCAACTTTCTCTTGGGAAGTCTATCTAAAACCATCCTGTCTCCATTACTCCATGTTTTGTGTAGCTCCGGAAGACTGCCTGTTGATCCGGCATTAGCCGAGCTCTGTAGACCTGGAATGTTGCTCCAAGACTGATGAGCTATTATATTCTTACTAAAATCTTGTGGGCTTCGTCGAATCCGTACACAAGGGGCCACTGGACCTAGTTTTTTAATGACATAAAATAAGTTAATGAATGACACCCTTTAAAACAGAAAGTTTTATCTTTATATATATATAATGAAACATCATCATGGATATGCATACATCTTATATATCTGATTATTTACAAAGGAAAGAGGAAAAGCAAATCTGAGTGCACTTCGTGCTTAGTACACATTTGCTCTGGAAGATGGTTTTACTCCAAAGATGCTTTTTCTACACTTAGTACATGGTTGTTCTTGATGAGGGTTTAATACCAAGCATGTTTTCTATACACTTAGTACATGGTTGTTCTTGATGAGGGTTTAATACCAAGCATGTTGTCTATACACTTAGTACATGGTTGTTCTTCATGAGGGTTTAATACCAAACATGCTTTCTATACACTTAGTACATGGTTGTTCTTGATGAGGGTTTAATACCAAGCATGTTGTCTATACACTTAGTACATGGTTGTTCTTCATGAGGGTTTAATACCAAACATGCTTTCTATACACTTAGTACATGGTTGTACTTGATGAGGGTTTAATACCAAGCATGTTGTCTATACACTTAGTACATGGTTGTTCTTCATGAGGGTTTACTACCAAGCATGTTTTCTATACACTTATAACATGGTTGTTCTTGATGAGGATTTAATACCAAGCATGTTGTCTATACACTTAGTACATGGTTGTACTTGATGAGGATTTAATACCAAGCATGTTGTCTATACACTTAGTACATGGTTGTTCTTCATGAGGGTTTAATACCAAGCATGCTTTCTAAACACTTAGTACATAGTTGGTCAACTGGTGGTTTAGAAAGTACTGAGATAGGTTGAGTCTGATTATATCACTGTGAGAAAAATTAAGTTTGACAAAATGTTCTCATCTTGAGTCAATTTCAAGTACATTAAAAATTTGTTTGCAATTTGTTCAAAACAAATTACTGTAACCAACATGGAATTGTCTACAACTAATATAAGACAAATTCAAAGTTCTCCTATAAAAACCAATACATTGCTATAAGTTGCAACTTAGACTTTTTCACAATTAAAATAAAGCAAACTCAAAGTTCTGCCATAAAAAACAAATATGATTGTAAATTATGCTGCAATTTTCCATGGTTAACATTATGTACATTCAATGTTCTGCCATAAAAAACAAATGAATACAATTATTATAAGTGTTGTCTCTGTGCTGAATGGACTTGTATGTATTACAAGAGTTTTGTGATAATTTGGTTTCAAGTAATTGTATGAGTTGGTTAAATAGTAAATTTAATTTTATATAGTTTGAATCTAAAAATCATTATTGATCTCATTAAATATTGTTGATTGAGTGTGTAATTATAATTTGATTGTTTTAGACTCTTTCCATTTGTAAAAAACAACTGATCAACAGCAAGTGAGTTTTAAAAGTAAAGCTTTGACTCGTGTATATATATATATATGTACTTGTTTTTAAAGGTGTCAGACCTAAAGCCTAGGCAACTAATTACTACAGCACTTCTCACTGAAAGCCAAACGGTGAATGTTATATTGTAGCCCTACACATTTTCATAAGAAAAAACAAAAGTTCTATTCACACATATTATATAGTGAACATTTATGGTTCCATTTGAAGTTGCAGAAAATTTAGTTTCATTGTACTGAATATTGAAACTAGTGCCAGGTTGAGAATAATTTGCAGAAAGAAAAACATACAGTACATATACAATGTTTCACAACACATAAGCTTGTGATAACTTCTTTGAATGACAAGAGAAAATATTATCTTGTAAGTTGTTATTAAAATTATCAGATTTCAGCAAACATCTTTTATTAGTTATGAATGAAACTATCTATGCCAACTTTGTGTTACAAAATCTTGCACATTCCAGACTGGATGTTCCAAGTATCTGTAGGACTGACACTAAAACATCTTCTATGCCAACTTTGTGTCACAAAATCTTGCACATTCCAGACTTGATGTTCCAAGTATCTGTAGGACTGACACTAAAACATCTTCCACATGAGGTACAGTACGTGTAGACACATAAGCTTCATAATATCTTACTTCTGTGGTATTCTTGCTTTCATTGAGTAATTGAATAGGAACAATGGAATAAGTGGAGGTTTGACAGAAAAGGTAGTGCAGAACAGAATCTGATTTTCAATGACCTTGACTGAGTTTGCAGAAAGAGGCTGAATACAAGTTGTATACGGTAAAGCAATCTTTATTTTAAGTTCAAGTTAAAGTAACTGAAATTATTACAGACTGTGAAAACATGGCATTATATACAAAAAACAAATCACCTTTCTTAATGTAAAGGCACTACACACATGACTGGTGGTCACTATCACTCACAATAAGGAATATTATACCCCTAAGGTATCACCTGACTTGCCAGTAGAAAAGATCACTGTTCATTTTTATATGGCCTGTTCAATGTGACAGCAATCTTTCCCACAAGAAAATATACATGTTACCCTTGGTAACTGACCTAGTTATGTGATTAACTAGGATGAGAGGAACTTAGTATCTTCCTTGACACTTTTTATTAAGAACAATATATGCCAAAATTTTGAAAAATTTATATATCAACATGGTAACCCTTCATTTGTTTTATAAGCTATAAAATGATCATGGCATTGAAGAGAATGTGAAGTAAAGAATATAGTAAATATAAGAAAATCTCAGGATCAGACAACTGACTGCTATCTCCATTTAAAAGCGATGGATGATTTTCCCACAGAAATATTGACAGCAAAGGAAAATCAATGCCTACAGTGTAGCACTTTCATTGCACATACATCAACTCATGTTGGTATGGGATGAGAAATTTTTCCATGAACAACAAATTCAAATATTCACTACAACAGTACACTTCATCCTACATACATTATATTAACCAGTAAAGTACTTGATATTTCAAGAATTATTCTGTCAATAATAAAAGAAGAACACACAGTGTTAAATAAAAATATTGTAAAGTACCTTTGGTATGGCAGATCATTTAGGTGTTAATATTGTTTAGTCTGCTTCATCCAAACTGAATTTCTGATTATAATAAAATACTTCTTGTAAATCCCAATGATACAGTTCATTGAAG